CCCCCCCCCCTGCGTAGCATGAGCATCTCCGCTCCGCATCTCAGTGCACACCACTGCGTCCTCTGATCGGTGCTGGAATCTGTTCGCCCCCGATGGCGTTTTGTAGGCGATCGATTTTCGAGGCCTGAACTCCGCCCCCTTTCTGCTCCTTCATCGCTGTTCCAAGGGCGCACCATCTGCCTACCCCCCTCTCACAACCGCGTCATCAAAGTTATCTAGTGTTGTTTCTCGAGCACGCTGATTTTTCTAGAACAGTGTTGTCTGACAACCAACCCGCTGTTTCTCCCTCCCTCTCACACGAACGCCCCCCGCTCCTGTGCACACACACGTACGTGTCGTTTTTCGTGCGCGAACCGGAACCGGCCCGACAGCGGTGTGCATCGGGGGTGAAAGCCGAACTACCAAGATCCTCATTTCAAAGCTGGCATTCGTCATCCCGCTCGCGGCGCTGGCGGTCAACGCGTTCTGCGACTGGCTCGCCGGAGGCGCGACCCCTTCAAGAGCGTGAGCGGGGCAATGGTTGCCGTTGTTGTTCGCTTCGCCATGATTGTTCATTTTTGTCCAACGTCTATCCGGCTATCCGGTGCATCTCCAACCATTTCTAGGTCGTACACCTCCCATCAGAGTGGTGGGTGGGGTTACCGCCGTAATAGTGGTGTGTGTATAGGTGGTTTGATTTAGTCAAGTACGGGAAACCTCCAGGAACCCCGGCGTGCAGAAGGAGTATAGATATATAAGAGCATCCCACACTCCCACGGAATATCCCCGCACCAGCGTGGACAGCCTACGACGTCATTCCCTCTAATCTCCTCCTATCTACTCAGCGAGACGTAGGCGTCAAGGGTTGAGTTGGTGATGAGTGGAGTAGCATGGTGTCGGCGTTTGATGTTGAATCCATGAATGATTGTCTTGTCTTGGTGTGGACAACGGGCGGATGTCTACCCCGAACAAATGAGGGGGCACTTGGAGGGATTTTTTTGAGGGTGTGATTCTCGTGGCAGTGTGATGACCTCTCTCTCTTTCTCGCTCGCGAAGTCGGGCAATGCCACGCGTGGATGTGTCCGCCACCGCGTAGTGTATGCGAAGACTGCCGTGAGGTTTGTGGTGCTACCTGAGAGTCTCCGCTGTGCGCGCGGTGGAACCGTGCCGGTGAAAGGTTGAACAACCTGCTCTGTAAACCGGCACTTTCGGTATGTGCCCCACGAGAAGCTTGTCACCCTTGAGAAGACGGCGGCTACTTTTATCGGGTGCCCTCAAGCTTGCCTTGCTCTTCTACAGCCAGCAAGCACGCACCTGAGGGTGTTTGTGACATGGATACGCAAACCTTGTGTCGCTGATCGTTCCCCGTGTTTGTGTCTGCACGAAACGTGTGTGTGTTTGCGTGCAAAACCTCCGTTTTCGTGCAGGCGAGCTCGGTGGAACCGGTTCTTGCTGTACGTGGCCGTCATGCTGGGTCGCACCTTGGGCTTGTACTTTGGCTTGAATTACATCCAGGTGACCGCGCGACACAGCGTGTTCTTGTGTGTGTATGTTTGTGTTTTGTGGTCTGTGTGGTGACAAAAGGGAGCGTCATGCATTGGATTTGATGTGTTGAAACAGAGACAAGACACACGCGCACCCATGTTGAGGGGAGGCTGCCACAGGAGGAGTAGATACCGCAGCACGGAAGACTTGTTTAGGAAGCACGCATACAGCACACGCAACAAATCGAACACAAACACCGAGAACTCCGTACCATAGGGTACAGCAGGACCGGCTTCGATATGAGGACTACTCTCGAAAAGTGTTTCCGAACGGGGAGCCTTCTGTGATGTGGTTTCGTACCGCGAAGTATTTTCTTCTATGTACCGGCACAAGTATCGCCCTTCTGGGGTCCTTACCTCGTCATCATTGATCTCGTCATTGGACGCCCACCTTCCCATGTGCGTACAGTCCCCTTATCGCGTCACAAACGTGAGCGGCCGCTCACATGTATGGCCGTGTCCCTCTCACGCCAGCAGCAGAACGATTTCGCACGTAGTTGGCATAAATGCGCATCCGTGGTTGAAGACAAAGACCACACGAACGAATCCCCCCCCCCCACTCCTCCGTTGTACCCAATAGGATCTTGTTCAGTCCGAGGAATCGAGCAACTGCTGGTACGCGCACCTCAGGCGCAGCGGGAGGTGCAGCGAGCACTTCGACTTCGCCGATCATGTGGTCCTCGCCGTGTGCCAGTACTACGCGATACAGGCAAGTCCTTGTCGTCGTCGCCGTCACGTTCGCATGTTGTGCGATGCTTTGCGGTTGTGTGCATTGCACTTCATGGCATTGCCTTGCTGGTAGGCGGGTGGAAGTAAGCATTCGTCCCATGACCGCTTGTTGCCATTTTCACCCTGGTTTCCTCACGACGGGTTGTCCGTTGTTGTCGGCAGAATGTGGAGTGTGCGATAGGTTGAAGGATCGTGAATTGGCGCGTCGTTTAGCCGTCTACCCTGCCTCGATCTTCCTCTGTATGTACGGGAGTGTAATTGACGGGGGAAAGACATCCCCGGGGGAAGGACAGGGTGGTTTGCAACATCTGTCACCTCGTGGGTGATATCGGACACATGGTGCGAGCGAGCGTCAATAACCGGTCATTGGACTAGAATCGGTTTTGATACCGTTAGAGAACGGCGGTGGAGGGTCACACTTGCCAAATAGTGTCACGTTGTCGACCCGGTATTCCCCTATTTCAACCCCGACATGAAGTTTCAGGAGCCAATCACACTGATTGCAATATTCTACGCGAGGTGGGGTAGTAATTCGATAACAGCAACGGGGTTGCGTGTTACTGTGTTGCTCGAAACAGAAATGAAGGTTTGGGTGGAAACCCCCCCCCGTGCTCTCGACAGGCCAAAAAATAAAGGAACATAAATTCTACTTGTCCCCGCCGTCCGCTTGCTCGCCCTCCGGCCTCTTTTTATCTCTCTGCAAACCCTATCCGGTTCGACCGCCCATTGATGTGCGATGTTCCTCCGCTGCGAAACTTTTGGTTGCCCCGCATTGGTTGCGTGTCTTGTAGCTTACTGCTGATCTTCATGCAAGCTGAGTTTTACGTGCGCCTCTCGCTTCCTTAGTGTCTTCTCCCCGCCTGCTTACCTCCCGCGCACACTCGCCCGCCGGTACATCGGAAATCGCCCCGAATCGTATGTACCCTCCCCCAGGTATTTGAGCTCTGCTGCATTCTCCGAGAATACGGAGACTTTTCCTGCCAAGCCGCCGCCATCGCCTCCGGCCTCCAGCGAAAACCATCACCAACTCCATCATCTCCCTCTTCCTCTTCCTCGTCCTCATCGAGATCACCACCACATCCACCGCCGCCATTACGGCCGTCGCCGTTCCTGTCGGTCCTTCCCGCGGCCGCCGTCTGTGCGGCGGTGGCGGGGGCCGCTCTGCTCCTGGTGTACGACACGGCCGCGTTCTTCCACTCGAGGGCGGAGACCGTCGCCGCGCTCATCATCTCCTGGTTCGTCGTGGGGGAACCCCTGCTGAGCTTGACGGGCGGTGCGGCGGTGGCGGCGGGCGGCGGCGGGACTGTTAGCTAGCGGTGTCGGGAGGTTCCGGAGGCTTGGGAGGCGTGTGTCTTTGGCCCCATCCCCGCCGGTAGGGCTGATGTGATTTTCGACTGGTGTTGGATTCTTTTTCGCTCTGCTGGTGGTACTTACACTGTCAACAGAGGAGCCGTGTGCATTGCTAGTGTAGTTGTTGCTCTGTCCGCCCGAACGTGACGGCCGTTTCTTTTTCGGCTTGCCAAGGTAGAGGCTGTGGTCAGAAAAGGGTTTGCCAGCCTCTTCAGTGTAGTTTTAATATTCTGCGGGAAATGCGGGGCTTGAAACGGTCGAATCGATTACCTGGAGGGGCGTCTTTCTTGGAAGTGCGAAGGGCGCCTTGTGGATACACAGCAGTAGATTCGCCGCCCAAGGCGTGGTGATTAATAACCTTTTACGAATGTGGTGCGATGGCATGGCACCACGACGTTTTCAAATTCAGCGTAGCGTAGATGAACGTTCAATTAATAGTTAGGTTAGGCCGGTCTGTCGGCGAATGGGAAAGCGGATGATGCGCTGATGGACTGATTGGTCTGGGCGGGCGTGACGAACGAGAATTCATGCTTGGGATGGCAGACACTGCTCCACGACCGAGAGGACTCCTCTCACTGATGTTGCTGCACACTTGAACCCTTCGAGTCGTTTTTCGGACCCCTGCTGCTCTTAAACGCCGGAAGGTGCTGCCTGCTTGTGCCATTCAACTCATAATCACAAGGGCTCACCGGTTGCTTGTAGATTGTTGGTGGTGTTGGTCCGACTAATCTCCGTGTATAAAGAATGGAGCGAAAACAAAGGGCACGAGAGGGAGAGAAGCCCCACTCTGCCTCGATGGAACGCCGGTACAACGATAAGTGCTTTTCCGCGAAAATAATATAGCTCGGGGCCTCAACTTGAGCCCTTTCCTTCTTGTCAGCGGCTTCACGAAAGGAAGGGCCTTCTCGCGAGAGAATAATCCGACAATATCTCAATGTGATGTCCGGCAACTCTCCGTCGCGTTCGAGATGCATTTGTCAGCTCCTGAACATGTGTCAGAAGGACCAGAATAATAACCGATTGATAGTGCTGGTCATGCAACAAACACAAAAGAAAGGCAAACCGTTGTCGTCCCACGGATGAATGTATTCCGCAGTACCATGTGATTGTGTCAATTATCATTGTTTCAAGACAAGGTAGACAGTAGACAGCAGTGCTTCTGCATTTCCACAGTCACCACTTCCGCTGTAATTGTTGGTGCGTTGTAATGTTTATTGGGGGGGAGCGGTTCGCCGTCCGTCATGGTTCAACCGCGCTTGTACGGGCTGCTCGCGCATGGATGAATGTACGTCCAATTTCACCGCTTCCCTGTAAGTCTGTTCCAAAATATCGATTTGTCTGCCCTTGGGATGGTTTTTCTTTTCTTGCTTCTTCTCTTTCGTGTGCGTCCCGTTCGATGCGGGGCTTGGTGTCGTGAAGGTTGGCGACTACTTTGCAGTATTTAACGCTTCACTTTTCGTCGCCATGGGTTCGCCTACCGTAAATGACACAAGATAACACACCCCCTGGACCGATTTCCAAATCTCGATTTCTCGACAGCAGAAAGAGTTACAGCGCGGAAAACGGTGGAGTTGAAGCTGTCTCATCTAGAGCTTTCCGAAACATGTATTGCTTCACTTATGCATCCTCGTCGTTGTCGCATAATCGAGCTTTGAAAATTGGTCCAGGGGGTGTGTTATCTTGTGTCATATACGGTAAGCAAGACTGGGCCTCGACCCCTGTAAAACTGAGTACTCCGTCCGTATTCGGTTTTGATTTCTCAAAAACTGAATCAAAAACACGAACGAGCACGACAAAACACCAAGACAAGTGACGTCACGCGACACAAACGACCACACACCGATCAATATCAATCCAAATCGACAAGGAGCCATCATCAGGGACACAAACGGATTTCATTGTACCAGCAGCTGAGCAGCACTGAACGGCATATAGATACGCCACCTCTCCATCATAACCCCTTCGTATCACAAACCCGGTGGCTACGTAGGAGCCGCCGAACCGGCAGCAGCAACGAACGAACGGCGTTGGATCACCAAAGAGGGGTGGTCGCGGGCGCCGCCGTGTGAACGAAGACGACCCGGGCCTGCCTGCGTTCTCAATCGTTTGGGCTCGAAGTTTCGTGATATTTTTGCCACAAGCAAAAGCCAGAACCTGAACACGGCCTTTTTATCTCTAAACGAACGCGAACGGTGGAACCAACCCCGCCTCATCCACCATCACGGAAGGCACTTCATTCGAATCAACCAAATCCAAGGGGGCCTATCTAATGTGAACCACAACATCTACGTCTTTCGTTACACGATACTGTACTGCGCTTTTCGTCTGTCGTGGAGGACATAAGCAATACACCGCCGCCGCCGCTTGCTGCGCGAGAACGGCGTTCCACACGCTGCTCTTTGTATTTTCTGTCTGTCGAGCTATACGATAAACAGCCCTCCGCTCGCGGAAGCAGTCGCCGCTTTTCTCGCCGCCGCCGGTGCAACCCCCCCCGAACCAGCGCGAGCACCGGCGCCCCGTTCGACCGTCGACACCGCCGCCGCCGCCGCTGCCGCTGTCACCGCCGCTCCTCCTCTCCCCGCGATCGCACCCTCTCCTCCATCTAACAAAGGTCCCGTCAGGCCTTCCCCTCCTTCGGCGCTGCTCACCGACAGCCAGTCTTCTCCGTTCCCTCCGCTAAGCCTGCTGCCACCGCCGCTGCCACCACCGCTGCCGCTGCCGCTGCCGCCGCCGCTCCCGCTCCTTCGCTGCTGCAGCTGCTGCTGCTGCCACGTCACCGGCCACGACACCGGCTTAGACAACCCACCCGACCCGCCCTCCTCCCCCCTGCCCCCCCCCCCTTCTCCTCTCTCCAACCTCCACCCGCTGCTGCTGCTACCACCGCTGCCGCTGCCGCCGCCGTGGCCACGCCCGCTGCCCCCGCCGGCGCCGCGGACGAACACGCTCCCCCCCTGCGCCAGCAAAACCCCGACCCCGCCGCCCCGATCACCGTCACCGCCACCACCGCCGCCACCGACCCCCCGGTTCGTTGCCGTCGTGAGCAGGCCGGTGACGCTTGAAGACGACGCGGACGGCCGCATGTCCCCGGCGGCGGCAGCGGCCAGGGCGGAGGCGGAGAGGGTGGGCGGGGTGGCATCGCCGACCCCTCCGCCGCCGCGCTTGGCAGCACCGGCACCGGAGCCGGAAATACCTCCTCCTCCGCTGGAGGAAGAAGGGCCCGGCAGCATGAGGTCCTCGGCCGCCTCCGCCGTGAGCTTCCGCTTGTGCTGGCGATGCGGCCGTACGCTACCGCTACCGCCGTTGATGCCGGTGCCGTTGCCGTGCGGCTGCTGGTGGAGGTTCTGGTAGCCGTAGGCGTTCGAGTGGGGGCGATGGCGTTGATGGCCGTAGCCCATACCGCCGTTGATGCTGCCGATGACACCGACGCCGTTGGGAGATGGCGCTCCGCTGGCTGGCCGGGGCGGATGCCGTCTAGGCAACATGCCGTCCTAACAGACGGGGACAGCAGGGGCAACAGCAGGTGCAAGGCGTTAATATTCGTCGGTCGTTTCGTCGTTCCGGGAAGCAAGTTGCCAACCGAGTATTCATTTACACGGTAGGGGGACACAAGAAAAAAAAAGTGGCGCGGTATATGTACGAGCGGATAGGAGATGCTTGCTTACCAAATTTTCGACGCGCGCGGACAGCAAAGTGTTCATGGTTTGTCAGCACTCGCCTGATGCCGTGCACACATCGGTCACAATATGCCCTCTCACAGTCACTAAAAACGCGCCGGTGGCATAGAGAACGTCCCTGGAGCGGCGTTGGAATCTTTCATTTGGCTTGATTGAGTACCAAATTTAGATAGATGCAAAGCTCTGCGGGGGCGAGGGACCAGGCTCATCATAAAATTCGGTTCTGTGCAGCCTTCCTTCCATAAACCACGTGCACCAACATTTTTTTGTCGAGACTTGACGTACTCCAGCACACAAATCACATCACCCAACACCCGAAAACAATACATTTCCAAACCTCCGAGAATGTCACTCTAGACGCACCAGGTTTTTCCGTCACAGGTCCATATTTCATATGTATTCCTTCCCTGGTCAGCCTTTTCTTCCCTGCCGATCGCGATAGGCATCCTCCTCACGCCCCACACGACAGGCATCCACACAGCACCCACCTGGAACCTGAAGAAAGTCAGACCGGCGATGACGACGGCAAGGGCCACGTCCACGGTGTAGTGCTTGCGGCCGGCGATGGTGCACGTGGCCATGGTGAGGAGGTAGAGGAACCCCGCAGCCTTGACGAACGCGTACACCAGCCTCGGCGCTCGCCGGAAGCTCTTCGTCAGCTACAAAGAGGTCGCCGGGGGCACGGACGGCGGGAGGGAGAGTGCTTGAAGGCGTGATGTACTGGTCGGGAGAAAGCACAAAGCATGGACGGCGCAAGCCTCGCGGGGTTTTCGAAACGGCACAAACCAGAAACCTCGCAGCACGTCAAAGCACGGCACACACGGCAGACGGGGAGGGGCACGACAGAACGACAATGGTGCTGGTATATGCACGACGCAAAAAAAATATTGGTGGCACAGGCTGAGCACAGCGCAAACACACTTCCCACGCCCCCTTCGACTGCTGTGGCATTTTCTCCAACGGGTAGGCTAGTATTTCAGCCGGTATTTTTCACACGCACACATGTATTTTCTAACAACATGGTGACTATGAAGACGAGACGACGACTCACGAGCAACATCGACACCGTCGTCCACGCCGTGTGCCCGGAGAATAGCAGGTCGCCGCAAGTCCGAAAGTCGCCCATGAGAGGGCCGAGCCTGGTGGCCACGTCGTGCCAACCCCGAGGGGGATCGTACTCCGACAGAGCCTCGCAGTGAGGAGCCGGCCCCGGAAGGGAGGTGAGGGTCACGCACAGGCACCGCATCAGGTACGTCACCGACCTGCGGCGACAGGTGCAGTAGCCATCCGCACGTGGACGCGCAAAAAAAGCGAGCGGGAGGGGGGGTCTGATTTGCTGCTTGCTCACGTCGTTTGAGCCTTGATCACATGCGCGCTTATGTTTTGAACTTTTGTCAAAGGTTTAAGGCAGAAGTAGAGGCAACGTCAAAACGGCTGGTACGTACGTGCAGGCGGCAAATTGTGTAGAACAAGCGGCAAGTGCCAGAACTAGGTGCCGCTAGACAGTGCGTTGCCAAACAAGTAGCATATCCAATTAGGGAAGCGACGAGGGTGACGCACGGGGATCGCGTGAGTTAGAAGACAAACCCGAAGTCAGCAAGCAATCGGGGGTTCAACAGACAACAATGAGAAGATGGTTTCACAACCAGTTCGCAATGCTGGTCTCCCAACTCCCACCTGCCGTAGTACCTCTTCTTTGGGGCGGTGACGTGCGGGTTGACCACGGCCGGAGAGACTCTAACAGGCGCTCATCCCTTCGATAGATCCGCCGAACCTCCACAGAAACCACAACCACGCACACGAATGACTCTGGACCAATCACAATCAATCAATCAATCAATCAATCAATCAATCAATCAATCAATCAAGCAAGCAAGCAAGCAAGCAAGCAAGCAAGCAAGCAAGCAAGCAAGCAAGCAAGCAAGCAAGCAAGCAAGCAAGCAAGCAAGCAAGCAAGCAAGCACAACTCACATGAGTCTGAACCAATCAGCGATAAAGCGACATCTCGTCCGGCGGTCGAAGAACAACGTCCTCAAGAACGCGAGACCCGGCAAAGCGAGCGTGAGGATGTCGCTCAGGGGCCTCCACGGGCTATCCACCCCCTAAACAGACCGAGCGAGAGGAGGGGGCGTACTCAGCGCACAGACGAGGCGGGGTGGCATGCGTCACAACACAAACCTATGTCCTGTTCATAGGTTGCACTGTACAAAAGGAGGTACGGCGATTGGTCGGCGGATTCTCCGAAAAGACTTTGCCAGTGCAGCGACAAATACCAAATACTTGTGTGATAGTACACCACCGCGCCGAACGAAGCGCACTTCTTACCCCCGCTGAGGTCTAACGCCGTTGGATGGCGAAAATTTTCCCTTGCGGTCGTCGTCGTCGTCATCTCGCACTACTACTCTATTACTGACTGCTGTCTGCGAGCAAGCAGGGAGTCTAGCACGAATACGATTGACTCTATGCAACGCCTCCCCCCCCTCCCCCCGGTTAAACTAGCTACGGTGCAGGGATGATTGCACCTTCTCCCATCTCCTTTCTTGGATACAGGATGCCATCAGTGTTGTCTAGCCAGCCAGTTGTACGGGACGAAGCCGTGATGTCAACCACCCCGCAGTGATTGTGGCATTGAGTTGAGAATTATCGGCTCGCGCCCTTGATGGTCTTGATACCTCATACACAGGCACCCCAAGGGCACCATCTACCGACCTACAGGCCGAGAGCAGCAAACGAGCTGTAAAATATCTAGCCTTCGGTTGGTGCACTCCCTTCCGATACCCGTGCCACGCTCGAAACCGTCGCCATTTCCAGCGAGCGGCATCGTCGGCGGCACGGCGGGCGGCGACCGGGTTTACCGCTTGGCCAGGAAAAAAAAAAAAAAGACCCCCGACAAGAACATGAGAGACAAGCTAACGACACAGACTACCAAAACAGAACGGGGGGACGGGGGGACGGGGGGGTGTGTGCTCATCGTCGTGCATGCCGTAGTCGTTAGACCATTGACCTCGCACCGCTACAAAGCCGGGACGGAGCATGCCGGGTTCTCACCGGACCAGGCTGTCACATCATCGAGCGCGAAGCGCCGCGAGATATTCGGCGAGTCGCATGAAGGGTGCGCTGCATCCTGCTAAGGGTGTTCGGCATCTTGTGCTTACTTCCTTGCGTACGGATGGACAGCTTCGAATGACTTAACTTATTTTCTGGCGCTCTCACTCCCAGAGACAGTTTTACGCACGGTGTAGCTGCCTCGAGGGTGCCTGACCAATTTGACACAACGTGCGATTATCCCCTTCGGGGGAGGGGGGGGGGG